TGGGGCGATGGCCTGCGGTCGTGCCCTGCCTGGGGCTGGGGGGACACCACCCTCGGTGACCTCGGGCCAGCTGTGCGCAGCCAGCTTGCGGAGGAGGGAAAGGTTCTGGGTGGTCAGGGGGGCCTTTTTGTCTTGTTTTAGCCTTGTCCATGGTCTCCGCTGTGTAGGAGGATGTCAGGATCTTGTTGGATTCTAGGCCTGTCAGTGACGATTTGTTTTCACTCTGGGATTTTCCTAGAAGTGTGGGGCTTGCTTTCCGCGGAGACGCGGTCTGGTGGCGCTGGCTGTGGAATCAGCTGCCCCTCATCGCGCCTGGATGTCGTGTTGGTCTACACATAGTTTGCAGGTCACCACGAGCAGGAGGAAAGTTCTTGGATTGTTTGGGGTAGAGCTTTTACTCCCCCCCCCCCCCCCCCCCCACAGATGCATCATCAGTGGCTGTGATGGGAGGTGTGACGTAAGTGGTTCTTTCCCGGGGTTGGGTAGCCTGTTCCAGCCTGAGCTTTGGTCCTGGTCATTGACTCCGTCCGTGTTCCTTAGAAGAGTGTTACTCGGAAAGCAAGGCAATCAAATCAGTGCATTGGGTGCCTGCGGAGGCGAGTGGTTTCTTCTGTTTGCTTGGACTGGTGATAGCATTGTTAGAGGCATGGCTGTTAACTTTGTGTATTCTTTGCACATCCCACTGAGCTCCCAGTGAAACTTACAAAATTCTATCACCAGTCCCCCTTATTTGAGTTACTAGGATTAACAAGGCGTATTTTTGCATTCCGTGCTGTTAGGTGCTTAGCGTTTAGCACTTGTCTCAGATAGGTTAGTGAGACTCAAAGTATTATACCCGCACTGTGGATGAAAGCACGCTAGTGCACTGTGCAAATTAAGTATTTTTCCTTCACCTGTCAATAAGGATGCAAAGAGAATATGTGCATTGAGAACTGAGCTGAATTAAGAAGTCAGGAAATTGGGATGAGTCTTTTTCTCTTGAAACACTGCCTCTGCCATGACAATTTTGTGATAGAGGAGATATTTGAAGTTTATTAACTTATAATGTGCTTCTTCAGTTTAATCACATTCATAACCACATATGACCAATGGTGTCGTTCTGATACAGAGTAAATGGTTTTGGGGGGAAGGGAGACAATCTGCTACAGTGGTACTGATTAAGTTATTAGGTATATAAATGAATCTATGTTCTTGGACTCAGCAACCCTCTACTCTCACTTAATTCATGTAGTCCTATTGCTCCCTATTTCATATAGAAGTTACATATCTTCCCTTTTCTCTTAAATTCTCCCTTTCTCTCTCTCTCTCTCTCTCTCTCTCTCTCTATATATATATATATATAAAGCCTAAGCGACCGTTCGACCGGTAGCTATGATGCACACTGACCACCAGGGGGCAGATGCTCAATGCAGGAGTTGCCAAGCTGCAGTGACTTGGCAGCTGCACTTCTCTGGTGATGCATCCAGAAACAGAGAGGAGGGAGCCCGATTCTGGGGTGCATCACATGAGAACCACCCTCTCGCAATACAGGACCCCTCAGGGGATGTGGAGAGCCTGAATCCCACAGGCCAGGCCAAGGGACCCCACTGGTGCACGAATCCGTGCACCAGGCCTCTAGTATTTATATAAAATACTATCTTCCCATTGAACATAAAGAATTGAAATTGTATGGGGAAAATGATGGTGATTACATCCTATAGAAATTCAGGTATTTGAAAGGGATTGAAAGTTTACCAGTATCATCTGTTTCCCCAGGTTATCCAACATTTAGCCTCAAATATTTTCATTTTATATTTCCATAGGACTTAAAAGCAATATCAAATGTGAATGTGTTCCTGATTTTCACTAAAAAAGCATTAACGATAGTTATGAATCATTTCGTTTAGTCATGTGTCTTTGTATCATAATCTCTTCTTGTCACAGACTTCCCAGACCACCCCAAAAACTTTATAGTAGAACTTTCAGTAGAAAAAGACCAAAAAGTATTTATCTGTAATCTGGAATTCTTTTCTCACCTTTGAAAGATTGTTCAGTGCTTCCCCTAAACAACTAGAGAAGTGTGATTGAGAGATTTCCCATCCTAGATGTTTCCATCATGTGAGAACAGATCATCTGTGACTGAATGTCATCTTTTCTTTTTTAATGTTGAGTTATGCATCTCCTGCACAGTATGATTCAGCAGTGCTGTTTTGTACAAGGTATGTCTTTGTACCCAATGTGTAAACAATGGACATGCCATGTTAACTATGTGTTAAATCTGCAAGTAAAATTATGCCCCTTCAGCCTTAAACTGTTTTCCTGCTTTGTTATAGTTCCTGGTAATATCAGAAGTTAGTGTTTCTGCAGTGTTTAAATTTGATTGCTTAAATGCTCTCAAGTGTACTATCATTAACAGTATTAGTAACTTGATATTAACAAATATGAACTATAAGAGACCTGGTCAAAACTTTGCAGTATCTATAATACTTGCCATTGACTTTCAATTACAAATAGACAAAGACTTAATGTTTATTCTTGAAATAATATACAAGCATACCTTGGAGATATTGTGGGTGCAGTTCCAGACCACTGTGTATTGCAATAAAGCCAGTTGTAATCTTTTTTTCTGGAGGAGGCCCTTAACCTTCAGTTTGTTAAAAAAAAAAAAAAGCAATTATCTGTGAAGCACAATAGAGTAAAGTACAATAAAATGAGGTATGCCTGTACTAACCAGGAAAGTCATGTGGTCAGTAATAATTACATATGTGTACATATGTTGCTGGTTAGTGATTCAAGCTCAAAGGTTAGAGGAGAGTGGACAGTACTACATTTATTTCCTTCAGGTCCTGGTCATCTGGGATGGACATGCTGTTTCCCCTCTACCACTTCTGCCTTGGGTTTCTAACTTCTGCATTAATTCTGCAATTTGATATCAGCATTAAGGATACTTTCTAATTTGCTGTACGTGTCTTATTGAGGTGCTTCTAAAGAAACCAAAGTAGAATTATAATGTGGCATATAGAACCCAATAAGTGGTCTTATATGAGTTTGTTATATATTTTGTTTTTTTGACTTTCCCATAAGCTGTATGCTTGTTGGGAATCTCTATTTGAAGAAGGTAAATATTTGGGTTCTTAAGATAATATAAAGATAGGTTAGAAATGATTAGAAAAGTTAGGTAGGATGGAGGCAATTTCAAATATGTTTAGTCTTATTATTTTTAAAAATTTTTGTTAAGATCAGTTTATTTAGCATTTTTTATATTGAAACCAAATTTATCATGGATGTAGCTAATGGGTTTTACCTGAATATTTTTAATGAGTTAAGGAAAGAAAGATAACACTGAAGCTTTTGGACAATGCCTTATAAAATTAAATGTCTGTTTCATTCTTTACTATGAGCCAGGCATTCTATGATGTTTGCAGATACAACATTGAGCAAAAGATGAAAATCTTCACCTGCTTGGTGCTTCCGTTTTGGTGATATGAAATGAGTAAAATATACTAGTATATGATAATGGGTGCTATGGAGAAAAATAAAGCTGGGAAGGGCTAGCTATCATGGGGGTTTTTTGTCTCTGTTTTTATGCCAGTATCATACTTTTTGATTATTATAACTTTGTATTATAGTTTAAAATCAGAAAGTGTTATGTCTCTAGCTTGTCCGCAGGCCGACGCTCTATCCACTGAGCCAAACCGATTTCGGCATACTTTTTGATTATTATAACTTTGTAATATAGTTTAAAATCAGAAAGTGTTATGTCTCTAGCTTTGTTCTTTTTTCTTAAGGTTGTGGCTATTCGAGGTCTTTTGAGGTTCTTTACTAATTTTAGGATTGTTATGCCATTGGAATTTGATAAGGATTGCATTAAATCTATAGATGGCTTTGGGTAGTATGGATATCTTTAACAGTATTCTTCTAATCCATTAGCATGAAATATCTTTCCATTTATTTTGTGTCTTCTTCAATTTCTTTTATCAACATCTTATAATTTTCAGTGTACTGGTCTTTCACCTCCTTGGTTAAATTTGTTTCTAGGTTTTTTTGTTTTTGTTTTTTTTTTGAGGCAGCTGTAAATGGGATTGCTTTCTTAATTTCTGTGGCATTTCATTATTAGTGTATAGAAATGCAGTAGAATTTTGTATATTGGTTTTGTATCCTGCAACTTTACTGATTTTGTTCAGTAGTTTTAACAGTTTTTGAGGTGGAGTCTTTATAATGTCAGCTGCAAATAGAAGCTTGTGGAAGGTCTCTACAGTTTTTTGTTTGTTTTCTTTTTTTAAAACATATTTTTATTGATTTCAGGGAGAGGAAGGAAGAGGGAGAGAGAGAGATAGAAACATAATGATGAGAGAGAATCATTGATCTGCTGCCTCCCGCACACCCCCTACTGAGGATTAAGCCTGCAACCCGGGCATGTTCCCTGACCGGGAATCAAACCCTGATCTCCTGGTTCATAGGTTGATGCTCAACCACTTAGCCACGCCGGCTGGGCTGTTTGTTTGTTTTCTTAGGATACAAAGTTATTAGTTGGTAGTAAGGATGAGGAAGTGGTGTTAAGATTTGAGCAAAGAGGAAACTATAATATACTTGTTGAGTTTTCAAATCAAGGTGCGGCTGAATGGAGCACCCAGTAGTTGGTTTTTCCAGTTGTGAGCAAGTTTATTTGTGAATGATCTACGGAAATGTAGTAGTCTTTTTTTCCAGGACTCAGTTATGTTAGTTCATAGGTCATCCTTGGAGAATAGTCTGCACATTCATCATTATTGTATCTTCTAATTGAAGACAGTGTCATATGGAACAAATACTGAATCATCTTGGATTTCCCCCCCTGGGTTCTTTATTCCATATGTATATTTCCAACAGTAAATAGTTAAATATGTATTGAGCACCTACTGTGTGTGCTAGTCCCAACAGATATCTATATCTATATCTATCTATCTATCTATCTATCTATCTATCTATCTATCTATATCTCCCCCCCCCCCAAAGAATCAGTTTTTGCTGTCAAATAGAGCCTGCACAATGTCATTTTGTAAGGTCTTTTATAGCTTGGGTGTTAGTGAATCTATAAATTCTCTGTTCCTGTGTTAGTTGCTCTCAGTTTTCTTGGAGTGGTGGTGTCTAATTTTTTGTATGCTTTCTTGTCTTACGTGCCTCTTAAACTACCAGCTCCATCCCTGAGATTTGAGGGAATTTGAAGTTTAGGGGCACTAGTTGTCAGCCAAAACCTTAAAGCTGTAAGAGTGTATATGCTGCTCTGGAAAGCGATTAGAAACCAGCTGGCAGCTCAAGCTAGACATCATCTCTGCATTCCCAAATTCCTATAGGGATCCTTGGCATATCTAATCAGCATTTTCTGAAAAGACTCCATTACTAAGGTTGATCATGAGCTGAAATACATGGACTTTTTGAACATGTTATTAAATCTACTGTTTTACTCTATCCTTTGCCTGAAAGGAAATAGCTCATAATTGATTTGTCTGGAAATCTTGGAAAGAAAACATTTTATCAAAGAACAGAGAAGTTTGGAATGTTCTAGGTCATTGGAAAAAATGTTCAGATGCTTCTTTCTGACAAGTGTTAAACTGTACAGATATCTGGATTTCGATATGGTTCTGAGTAAAATTTTGTTTCTGGAAAGAATACTTTTTTATTGTAATGGTTGTCTTCTAAAGCAGTGTTATGATCTTAGTAGCTTCTCTAAATTTCTCCTCTTGAAATTAACAATACTGTAGTTCTTTTTGTCTTAAATTTCTTCCACTTGTTAAATAGTAGGACCTTGTGGGACATTTCACATATGCACTACGAAGAATAAAAAATGCCTTTGTGTTTGTATGATTGACTTGCCCTCAAGCAGTGTTTGTTTTTCAAAGATAAAGCTCATTTTGAAATTATTTATTCATGCCTAAAATAACTTTTCAGTTTTCCAGTAATGAGCAAACTGGAGCACTGAACTCTTAGTTTGCAAAGGCAATGAAATGAAAGGCACAGCAGAATTTATAGTATAGGATATCTCACTTGGGAATAAGCATGAATAAACGTTTTATAGAACAAGGCCTTCCAAAACTTTTATAAAATATATAGTTGTGACTATATAAAAATGAACTTTAAAATAATATTAACTTTGCTGCATTAATTCAATTACTTTGCTTTCTAGTGTTACTTTTAAAAAACTAGTTATAAATTCCAAGGTCAAATAGAAATTACAAATTATAACAAAAGCACAGAACCGAAGCAGCATTTGGATAACGGACAATCTTTCCTAGTATTTTCCTTCATGTCTTCTGCATAGTTTCTGATGAAGAACAATCAGTAGTATATGTTCCAGGTATGATTTTCTATGTTAATTTGGTAAGCTTCCTTTGCTTCTTAAGTGTTAAGAGAAAGATGAAACATTAGGACAACTTTGCAGTTATAACTGAATGTGGTACAGTTCATTAGAACCTAAAATAAAATAAAATAAAATAAAATAAAATAAAATAAAGGAACCCTATTAGGGTTCAAAACACTGCCTTATACTTTATGTATTAGGGAGTAAGAGATTTTCTTTTTTTTTATTATAAATAAGAGCCTAAATTTAATATTTCAAATAAAAGTGTGGAAACTTCTTGACATAGAGTTTATGCAATAGACTCTTTAAAGTTTAGTGGTTATTACAGATGAGCAGTAAAACTGGACTATTGAAAGTACCCCAATTATGTGACAAATCAGGTCTTTAATTTCCCTAAGTGAGTGTATTTGTGGCATGTTTTAATTTGTTGGTTTCAATATGACATATGAATGTGCCAGCACCTTTTAAAAATATTTCAGTTGAATCTTAATGTATTCAAAATATAATTTTTTCATGATTTATTATTTATTAAGAGAGCCTTAAGATGAAGTTAAGAGTTTTCTATATCACATCCTATAAAATAGAGGATATTAATGGAGAGGTTGATTGGGGGGTGGGGGGGAAGCTTAAGAGAATGAGAAGATATAATTTTGAAATCTTACTTGATGCAAATCCTTAGGGATTTCTACAGAAGGAAATATCCGATCAAGACACAAGTCAATGAGTCCAAAAGCTAATGTTAAACTTAAGACTTCCAAGGTGACTGCTGCTTCAATCTCCATGGAGTCTTTAAAGGGTGCAGGAGATTCCGTAAATGAACAGGTCAGTAATTTATTTGTTTTCTCATTCTACAATTTTTTATAAATGTTGATCATTTACTAATTTTTCTTTGCCGACTGTCAATTGGTGGCTGTTGGTGCCAATTCAATGCCAACAGGAATTCCTGATTTGGGTTGCAATGAAGAAAACAGCAATAGTGCGAAACAGCTCAGTTGCGATACATCAGAGCTATGAAAACAGCATGGCTGTGGAACAGCTGCGTAGTGTTATAGCTCAGTTAGAAGCAGCAGGGCTGTGAAGAGGTAGTGGGCAGAGTGGCCCTGGGGGGAGGCCCTTTTGGGTGAGGCCATTCTAGGCGAGGCAGTTCTGCTCTATTCTGGTCTTTTCTACCTGCTTAGGTCCACTTCACCCTGCGCCAGTCATCTCTGCTCTACTCTGCTCTGGTTAGACATCTTTGGGGTTTCACCTCCAGCCTGAGAAACGCAGTTTTCAATCTTAGGTGGAAATGGAAAGTGCATTCCCAGAGCCAGAAGGGAGCTGATTTAAAAAGACTGAAGTCCCCACCCGTGGTCCCTGATTGGTCTGTCCTCATGCAAATAAGGACTCCAAATACTCACAGTATTGGTCCAAAAGTACTGTCCTGATTGGTTAGGATGGAGTTGCTCTAATTGGGTGGCAGAGCTGTTGAAGGTGATACAACTAGGTCATTGGAGTTAGCCTAGGAAGCTTCAGCCCACTTGGTTAAAACAGGATTCCAGGAACTCCCCTATGAGGGGCGGCTCAGATGGCAGAAACTCAGTGCAGGAAGCAGGAAGCTTAGTGCAGGCTTCTCCCTGAAGTGCAGTTCTTATGCGAGGCCCCTGTTCAGAAATGACTGCTAGGCTCTGTTTTTTTATTTGTTTGTTATTGTTTTTAATTTAAGCTCAGTTAAGCCACCATGAGTTCTTGGTAGGGTATCTTCTTTCTCAGGGACCACATGACCAATAACTGATGTATATGGGTAGATGATTTATACGCATTCTGAAAAGCTACAGAGGATTCTTGAATGTTTTGATGATGCTTGGTATGAATATAAAGTGTTTAGCTCCAAAATATTTGGGCTTGCTTTAAATCTTAGTTAAGAAAATGTATTATCTTGGTATGTCTCAAAAGACCTACATTCTGATCTGTGTGGAGTTAGTAAATCAAATCCACAGCAACTGTATTTTGGTTAGGTGTCCTTTATGATTTCTGTTCATTTGCATTTGTTAGTTAATGATGAATAAGCCCTAAAATATAAGAAAGATGTTTTCATTAAAAGAAAATTAGCCTGCATTATTATTGTTGTTGTTATTATTTTCTTCCATTGGAAAATAATATCATAACGAGTTTTTCTGTAAAGAGCCAGATAGTAAATACTTTAGCTTTTATGAGCCCCATTGTGTCTTTCTCAAGTGTTCAGCTCTGCCACTGTCCTGTGGATAGAGCCATATATGTATCAGTGTGTAAATGAATGTGCATGGCTGCATTTTAATAAACAGGGGATGGGCCAGATTTGGCTTGTAGCTATTGTTTACCGACCACTGTCCAAATATATTTGGTTTTTAAAGAATATTTAATTTTATAGTTTTTTGAAACCTTATATAAATGAGCTTATACTTTGTATAGTGTGTGATTTGCATTTTTACTCAACATTATGTTCATGAGATTTATTTATGTTGTATATAGTTATATTTCATTTTTTTCACTGATATTTCAGTTAGGGTTTAGTCATTTATTTTAACTGAAAATACTAAATACTTGCTACATTGGTGCTGAAGAACTGAAAAGGCAAAAAGAAAACACTCAGTTATCTCTAAGAAACAGTTACCATTTCTAGGGCTGGGAGAACAGATGGAACAAGTTGGAATTATTAAATTGTGGAAGCTTTGAGGATGAACCCCTCAGAACTGGAACTTGGACTCTGGCGATGGGGAACCAGCCTGACTGCTGTCCCTGAGGAAACAAGATAAAGAAAGGCTGGTTCAGTGAGGGCACAAAAAATTGCAAAATAGAATCAGCTGTTCTTGCCAGGGCTGAGACTGGCCGGAAAAGGAAGCAAATAGGAAGGAACGTGTCCTTTCTCTCTCTAACAACCCCTGGTCCCCTTCTAGTAGTTCTTCCTATTCGCAGAGTTTAACAGAGAGTCATGTGGCAAAGAAGAAATGAGGTGTCCAGAGACTCAGCCCCAGGGTCACCAAACAGAGCGTGGAAGGGTGGGTTTGAAGATGAAAGTCAGTAGCATAGCAACCAGTACCTATGGAATTCCATTGAATAAATATATCACAGTGAAATCATTCTCTAGTGAATAAAACATGATTCTCAGGTTTTTGCTGTTAAACACAATGCTGCTAAAATCTTTTGTTTGGTTTATATTTACTGCACCTTTACTGAAATGTCTTTTCATGGGTTATCAGCAGCTTCTCCCATTGTAAATCCAGTGACATCAATTCACATTCTATTAGCTTTTTCAGTCATTTGCACTAAGCCCACACTTTTCTTGAAACTTTTTCTTTTCTTTTCTTTCCCCCACAATATTTTATGCTTCCGATTCCCCTCTTGTTCTTTTAGACATACATTTTTTTCTTGGGTTTGTAGATGATTTTTAAAAACTAATATTTTTCTTAACTTTAAGGAAAACTTTAAAATAAAAATATAATGAAAATAATAAAAATCTAAACATCCTCCATAATATCATATAGCTAAATTTTAAATCTTAGTTTTTCTCTGACTTAAGAGCCATACCCATATTTTTTACTTTCTACCTAAACATTTCTATATGCATATCCTCCTGGTATCTTAAATTGACCTGATGTATCTAAAGCCAAACTTATTTTATTTTCTTACCATTCCTTTCTCATTTCCTCTTCTCCCCTCTCTTTCCTGTCTTTGGCTCTCAGTATTTCCATGTTTCATTTTAAGGGTCTTGGATTATTCTTGACTACCAGAAATAATTGGACTGACCTATTTTGTGGTTGCATACATTTCAAGGATTATATTTCTTTCCTTTTACATGTTACCTCCAGTTCCCTTGTGACTTCCTGAGTTTCATGGCTTTAAAGACCCTGTTAATGATGTTCAAGTACTAGGAGAATTTTTTGTAGCATAGGAGACAGGATAGTACAGTGGTTAAAGCACAGACTCTGGAACTTGGTCTTGATCTACTTAATACTAGACAAGATATGTATCCTCACTTTAAAATAAGAATAATACCCACCTAATAGCATTGTTGCGGAAATAAGATGGATTAATAAGTGTAAAGTACTTAGCCTATTCCTGGCATACAGTAAGCACTAGATATTATTAGCTACTTAAAAATATATTATTATTATTAATTACTCTTTGGTCTAGTACCCTTTGGAATGAACCTCGTGTTATTGAGCGGCTAGAACAGGTGCATCTGCTGCCAACCTTAGTTTTAGGCTGGGCTGTGATGTAAGAAAGTTCTCAGTATCTTCCATTAGGTGTTTATTTCTGTGGTGTCCACCAAGGGAAAGTTGTCTTTTAAAATATTCCCTAGTATTTAAGCAGGGACATTCCTGCTTTGAGTTCTTTCTGTCTGCTTTTCTGTGTAAATTTCATGATGTCCCCTCATGGGCAGACAGTTCCTTAGCCTGTTTTGAGTTCATAGTCAGTTTTAAATGAAACAGGCTACTAGTGTTTCCACAAGATAAAAGATATCTAGGAAATTTCACCTCTACTTATTTTAAGAATTTATTGAAGAGTCTTAAAAATTGTTTTTAGTAAAAGTTAATAGTTTTTTTTCTGTTTCAGAATTTCTGCAAGGGAGGAATAAAGAGTGCATCATTAAAGGATTTATGTCTTGAAGACAAAAGACGCATTGCAAATTTAATTAAAGAACTGGCCAGGTGAGACAAACCTTATATGAGATGCATTGTTATATAAGAGAGACAATTCAAGAACTTTAAAACACATGAATTTCATTTTCCTTTCTTGATTATATTTCATTATATAGTGTGTCAAAAATTATATTTATATAAATTTTAATTCAATGTAATATTATTATTACCTTTTTGTATTATTTTGAAATAATTTTAGGCTTATAGAAAAATTGCAAAAATATTGGGAGAAAGAGGAATGAGTGGTCTTTTTGAGAGGATGAAATGTTCTAAAATTATATTATGGTGATGTTTGCAGAACTCTAAATATATTAAAAGCCATTGAATTGTATCCTCTAATGGTTGAACCTTATTATATGTAAGTATATGTCAAGAAATCTCTTAAATGGTATGGAAGGCTCTCATAACTTTCACATAACTTTTTCTAATTTTATCACCCTGAATAAATCATCATGCAATTATCAAAAATTAACATTGGTCCAATAGTATTAATTACAGAGCATTCAGATTTCACCAGTTTTTTCACTAATATATTTTTTCCTGCTCCAGTATCGCATTTTGTATTAAGTTTTTATGTTTCCTTGGTCTCTTTCATGTGTGTCCTTGCCTTCCACGACTTTGATACTTTTGAAGAATACTGGCCAGCTATTTTGCAGTATTTCTTCCAATTTGGGTTTTTCAGGGGGTGTGTGATTAAGTATGATATTAGCTGTAGATTTTTTATAGATGCTCTTTATAAAGTTGAGGGAATTTTCTTATATTCCTACTTTTATAAGAGTTTTTGTTATGATTGTATGCTAGATTTTGTAAAACACTTTTTGTGCCTAAATTAATGTGAGATTATATGTATTTTCTTATTTAGCTGTTGATATGGTGGATTATACAAATTGATTTCTGAATGTTGACTTTGCCTTTGCTACCTGTAAAACCTCAGTTTTTATTATAGTTTTTATACATTCCTAATTTTGATTTCCTTATTTTGTTTGGAATTTGTATACTGACGTTCATGAGAGGTATTGGACTATTTTGCAGTATTTCTTCCAATTTGGGTTTTTCAGGGGGTGTGTGATTAAGTATGATATTAGCTGTAGATTTTTTATAGATGCTCTTTATAAAGTTGAGGGAATTTTCTTATATTCCTACTTTTATAAGAGTTTTTGTTATGATTGTATGCTAGATTTTGTAAAACACTTTTTGTGCCTAAATTAATGTGAGATTATATGTATTTTCTTATTTAGCTGTTGATATGGTGGATTATACAAATTGATTTCTGAATGTTGACTTTGCCTTTGCTACCTGTAAAAACCTCAGTTTTTATCATAGTTTTTATACATTCCTAATTTTGATTTCCTTATTATTTTGTTTGGAATTTCTACACTGATGTTCATGAGAGGTATTGGACTGTCGTTTTCTTTCTTTTTCCTTTTTTTTTTTTTTTTTTTTGCTTAGTCTGGTTTTAGTATCATGGTAATACTAGCCTTATAAAAAGAATTGGGAAGTGTTCTATTTTCTAGAAGAAATTGTAAAAATTGGTTTATTCTTTTGTAAATATTTTATAGAATTTTCCAGTGAAATCATCTGGGCCGGAGATTTATTTTTAAAGAGCTTTTTAATTACAAATTCAATTTTTTTAATGGTTACAAAATTATTCAAGTTGTCTATTTTGTCTTGATTGAGTTTTGGGAGTTTGTGGTTTGAGAACTGTCTCATGTCAAATTTATGAACATGAAGTTGTCTGTGGTATTCTCTTATCTTTTTAGTGACTGCGGGACCTATAGGGCTCCATTATGATATTATTGATTTGTACCTTCTCTCTTTTTATTTTTGTCAGCCTTGTTAGGTTTATCAATTTTATTGATTTTTTTTCAAAGAAGCAGCTTTTTGTTTTATTGATTTTTCTCTATTTTTTCTGTTTTCAATTATATTGATTTTTGCTCTTATCTCTGCTATTTCCTTTCTTCTGTTGTTTTGTTCTTTTTCTTGTTATTTCTTAAAGTAGAAACTTAGAGACCATTCTCCTTTTAATGTAAGCATTTAGTGCTATAAACTTCTCTCATGATTGCTTTTAATGCTTCCCACATATTTGATTTGTTGTATTTTCATTTTCATTCAGCCCTATGTATTTTTTAAAATTTCCTTTGAGACTTCCTCTTTGACCCATGTATTATTTATTTAAAACTTTGTTGTATAAAAGTTAAAGCAAATGGAGAAAGTGCAGAAGATTTAGAAAACCTGTGTATTCCTATGATATATTCAAGTATAGCATACTTAAAGGATTTCCGCTATTATGAAGATGCACCAACATTATTTTAGGGGAGAAGTCAGAGTGCTTAACACCAACACTGACCATTAACAAGCATATTTTCAGAATAATATAATATTCAGTAGCTCTCAGCACAACGTACAAGACAAATAGCATGTTTTTCAATTATAGAGTGACATGCAATATAAAAACAAAGTAAAAACTATAGCCATTTTTTTTTAATGGTGCCTTTGAAGTGAAAAGCATTTTTAACAAAGCATTAGCCTTTTAAAAAAAACACATGGCCTTTAACAGTGTTAGTGGGAAAACTGTATATGTCTAAATTCCAAGACTGGCTTACCTGTATCTTACCTGTTCCATTGAGAATCTAGCTGTGAGGTCCTTTTTAGTCATTATCTTTATTGGTACTATGTGTAAAAGTAGCAAAAAGATGCTTATAAGATTTACTGATGTTACTAAACGAAAATAAATGTTAACAGAAGATATAAATAAGATTTAAGAATTGGCTTAATAGGTTGGAAAATAGATTCATTCAAACAGGATGTGAGATAATAGTGACAAGTGCAGGTTATTATATGCCTAAGAATAAAAATAAAGTAGAAATTCACTTAAGAGAAAGACTTACTGGTTAGGCCTAGTACATTAAAAAAATATGCATGGATCATAGTTCAATTTAGCCTGAACATGAATAAGCAATATAGTGCTATTTGGCAAGAAACCAAATAGATTTAAAAAAACAAAAAACCTAGTATAAGTTTTTAATAATCTGTAGATGCCTCCTTAAATAATCTATATATGCTCAGGGAACTTTTTTACTTGTGTTAACTACACTAATAAAAGAATGGAGTACACATACAAATTAATAGGCTAATGGAGAATAGATACCATAAGGGATTTTATGAATTATTTAGCTGGTGGAAGAGAGTGTAAAAGATGACTTGATATATGGACTTGAAGTAAATGATCACATTTTCCTGAGGTGTCTAGCATTGATTTACATTTGCAGAAGAATAAGTGGAATATTGATTGATCATTTTTGGAGGCATAAGGATAGAATTCTTTTTGTTCAAGATTGCTGAATTAAGTGACCTCAGAAAGTCTTTAATAGTAAAATTAATGAATTGTTTGCAATGATGGGAAAAGCAGTGTAATTTATGGGGACTTGAAAAGTGAATGGCTTTGCAAAATATTGTAGTTTGTGCTGCAAGATGGCAACTTCCCTATGGAGAGGGTACCACAGACCAGCTGCAAGTTTTTTTTTTTTTTTTTTTTTTTTTTTTTACTGAGACTTTTTAAGATGGAGAGGGTACCATAGACCAGCTGCAAGAATTTTTTAAACATGTAATACTTGACCATTTAGTCAGGGTCACTGACCTCTTTTCCCTTAGATTGTCATATTAAAAAATGACAACTGCCCTGGCCAGTGTGGCTCAGTTGCTTGGGCATTGTCCCATGTACTCAAAGGTTGCAGGTTCTATTCTCAGTCAGGGCACATGCCCGGGTTACGGACTCCATCCCCTGTAGGAGGTGTACAGGAGGCAACAGATCAACGTTCCCCTCTTACTAGTCAGGGTCACTGACCTCTTTTCCCTTAGATTGTCATATTAAAAAATGACAACTGCCCTGGCCAGTGTGGCTCAGTTGCTTGGGCATTGTCCCATGTACTCAAAGGTTGCAGGTTCTATTCTCAGTCAGGGCACATGCCCGGGTTGCGGACTCCATCCCCAGTAGGAGGTGTACAGGAGGCAACAGATCAACGTTTCCCTCTTAGATAGATGTTTCTCTCTCTAAAATAAAAATATTTTTAAAAATATGACAACAGCCAACATAACAATAGCCGTCTGGTATGACTGAATCAAAATTATACCTTTTTTTTTGTCAGATCGGCAAAAAATATATTTTTTGGTGTGCAGCAGAATTTTAGTAATTAGTTTGTATGCCATGGATGAAAAAGGTTGCAAATCGCTGCCATAGACTAATGCGTGAACTGTACTATAGCTTAGTATTTAAAGGAAAAAAAGTTGTAAAATAATCTTGACCACATTGCATTTTTTTTGATGTATATGAGCCATATTCGAAGAAGCCTAAAAAAATCTCCACTATTTCTTGTCCTGTGCCCACACTGTCAGATAATGCATGGTTCCCCCGTGAATACTTGTGCACTAACTCATTTGAGGACTGGGTTCTTTTTTAGGCTCAAATACTGATTTTTCCCAAAGGACAGTTTGTTGTTTCTACTTGACATTCTCAGAAGAAAAATAGAAAGTGTAACATCATTAGTTTCCTATTGTAGAATAAGTAGATCATTATTATTTTATATTTATTCTGTTTTTTTAGTTTTTTTAACTAATTATTTTTTGTCATAATTAAATGTACATCTCAGTACAATAAAAAATTAAGACTTCAATTTTAAGACTTCAAAGATATTCAGTACTTTCAGCACAATTTCGAGCCCAGCCACCCAGCTCTAAGGGTATGAATTCTCTTTTCTTGTTAAGTAACAGTACATTTTGTGGACCTTTTTGATAAATACTCTGAGGCATTAACTAAATGTTAACAATCTTACTTTATGAACAGGCTATTGTCCTCTTTGTAAATAATTAACAAACCAACTCTGGGAATATCCTCTTGTTAGTTTTAACTGTTTTATCCTATTAGTCAGATATTTCCCTTTCCTGTATTTAGCTTCTCATTTTGTTAATTAACTTGTTGCTCTACTCTAAATGAGATAGAGAATTAGGTCTTTTTATGTTACTTTGTGGTCTGAGAATGCTTTGATGAAAAATGTAGATCAGGATACCAGATATTTTCTCTTACATATACCTCATGGGAAATATTATTGAACATAAATTAAACAAGAAGACAGATTTCAGAGTGGATATCAAATCTTGAGGTTGTTTTATTGGCAAGTCCTCTGCCTTTAAAGGCTGTATTAATATGCTTGCTTATATTAACTATGCTAATAGGCCACAAAGAAGCCATGAGTATCTTTAGATAGGCCTATGGAAGAAGTGTTATACTTTGTACTTACCACAGCTTGTTAATTTTATAGCCTCCCAGAGCATAATAATTGCTAAAGGGTAGTCTAATCATAGCAGCATAACAGAAAAGACCAAAAAAAAAAAAAAAAAAAAAAAAGGCCTGTTTAAATAGTGTAGCAATACATTTTTCAAACATACTCCAGAAACTAAATTTTAAAAGGAGTGATTTTTCTGGATAGAGCACTTTTAAGTTTTGAGAAAAGCTCATCATAGACTCTGGCATTATGGGATGTGTGTACAACTTTTACTCCCTCGATGAACTCTAGAGTTTTCATGGATCTCTTTTGGGTTGAACAAAGGGAGTAAATAAATGTTGAGATATACCTCCATGATAAGGTAAATCTGGCAATCTACAAGGGAGGCAGGAGGATTACCTGAGACCCGAGTATAAATCCTCCTCATTTAGGTATATTTGTTCCTTGTTTTGTTGTCTGGATTCTTGTAATTGTATCAGTTTTAGAGATTACCCTTAGGAAGAGGGGCCTGAGTCCCATTCATGGGCCTCATATTATGCTAACCATAAATAATATAGTTGAGGAAATTATTTGAATGTCAAGATGAGCAAGAAGAAATAAACCTATTTTTGAACACTATTGTGTGCCATGCATTTCACACACATTATTTCAAAGAAAAAGCAATCAACTCTTGAACATTCAAAAAATTCTAATTTTCATTCTATCATTGATTTCAATATCTTCACCAGAAGACTAGCAAGAAAGGAAGAGCTATGGAGTTCATGTTAGTCAGAAATTGTTCTGATAGAGGAGGGTTCTGGGAGAAAGTAAACTTAGGAGCTCAAAGGAAAGGCGTGGATTTCACTTACACGCATCCCCGTGTGATCTTGTAGGACAAACGTTGTACTCTCTTTGGAGAAACAGGCACCAGTAACAAATTCAGGGCTAACATCTCTGTGCACAGAGAAACATGAAAATTAGGATTGTCATTTTAAGATAACTTTTAATGTTGTTGTTTAGCTGTTTTTGTGGGTTTTTTTAAAGATGTTTTCCCCTTCTGTGTTCTTGTTAGGAACCACCCCTTTCTGGTAGGATCAAGTTGGAATACTTTTCAGAATTAGACATTAAAGAATCAAAACTATTGGTCGGTATTTTTAACTTTAAAATCCTTTTTAAAAAATCTTTATTGTTGAAAGTATTACATATGTCTCCCTCCCCCATGGGCCCTTTCTAGCCCACCCCAACCCCAGGCCTTCACCACCCTATTTGGACTAAGAATAAATATAGTGCAAGGTTTATGTTAATGCTGTGTTTTTATTCCAATGTAGTTATTTATATGCTACTAAGGAATACAGGGTATCGGTTCCAGAAAAAAAGAATAAAATTGCCTATGTTTTTTAGTGAAATGTTTAAGTGATTTATATGTTGTTTATGTCATTGACAGGATTTAAATAAAAGTATAAAAATATCTAAATCAAAATAAATTGATTGTGCCTATTTTGATAATGAAGAAATGAAACCTAATGTTGTAAAAATTAGATACTTTTCTGTCCCAGATTATAATTAGGAGCCTATGTCTTATGTTGGACTTTACATATTTAAGATACTTCTGATGATGGGAAACATTCTTGATTTTAAAGTCAACATGCGTATTTTATTGGACAGCTGTAAAAGATTGCCTTATAAAAGGTTAGTTAAAAAAATGCATAGAGTAGCCCTGAAGAAACCTCTGAAAGAGGTAAGCATACTCTGGAGGAAGTCTACTTTGGGTAAACTGCAGCTGTAGGCACATGTTGTATTTTATTCTCACAGGCATTTTCTTTTCATTTATTTCTTTTAGAGTAAGCGAGGAAAAGGAAGTGACCGAAGAACGACTCAAAGCTGAGCAAGAATCATTTGAGAAGAAGATCAGGCAGTTGGAAGAACAGAATGAACTGATCATCAAAGAGAGAGAAGATATCCTTTTTGAAAGTTCTCTTTTTTAATGTGCAGGAAGTTTGACCCTTTCATGAATGCCTAAACCATACTTAAAGATTATTTTGTTCTCTTAAAAATACTTAGGAATTAATGCTAACTACAGAGAGGAATTGATGATAAAAGTTTACAGTAATTAATTTTTGAAGAGACAGTATAGTTTTGAAGCAAAATGTTTTTTGATTTATGGGGGAGCATCCTTTAAAAAATGTTTAAAGCAATTTAAGAAAGCTTGTTGCTAAAGAAGTCAGGTAGGAATTACTGAGGAATCTCACCATTCATTATGTGCTGCTCTGACAAGGCATAGAACAGATCTCAAGGAAAATAATGCAGAAACAAAGCTGAAAAGGCTAGGATTAGATGGAACCTACTAACGGATGTTTTATGAATTGTGTCAGGATCAAGCTTTCCGAAGTAACAGTAATAAAAGCAAGATAGGTGTTTATTCCTTTTTATTGTAAAAGACATTTGAGTTTTGGCGCAAGGCAGGGGATGACTTGATTTGAGAGAGTCTTGGCATTCAGCCATCATGTGCATATTCTAGTCAGCAACAAGGCGTCTGTTGATTCTGAAAAGTTTGTTCTCAGTGTAGTTTTAATTTCAACTTTCAGTTGTTGGATTTAGAAACACAGTTGAATTTTTATATTGATTATATCTTTGACCTTGCTAAATTCTCACTTGTTAATTTTAATAGTTGTTTTCACAGATTCCTTAGGATTTTATGTGTGAACAATTATGTCATCTGCAAATAAAAATAGTTTTCGTTCTTTCCTGATCTTTAAGCCTTTTCTTACTTTTTCTTGTCTTACTGCAATACCTTCAGTTATGTATTGAATAAAAGATGACAAAGAGCACCCTTATCTTGTTCCATGTTTTAGGAGAAATGTGTATTTCAGCTTTAAGATTGATGTTAGCTATAGGTTTAAAAAAGTTTTTTTATTGATTGATTTTAGAGAGGGAGAGAGAGAGAAACATCAACTTGTTGTTCCACTTATTTATGCATTCATCGGTTTCTTCTTGTGAGTGCCCTGACTGGAGATCGAACCACACCGTTGGCATATTGGGACAACACGCTAACCAACTGAGCTACCCGGTTTTTTATAGGTATCTTTTATTACAGTGAGGAATTTGCTTCATTTCAGTTTGCTAAGAAGTTGTTGTTTTTTTTATAGTTGTGAACAGGCTTTGATTATTGAGGACAATTGACATTCTATTACTTATACAGTTAGTTATTGTCTATTTCCCTCATGGAACATTATTTTTGCTTTATGCACTATTGTACACTGAGAATCTTATGCAAGACCTGATACTCAGTATGTACTAAAAAAATACCCTCTTATGTGAATGAATTGTTAAACCTCTGTTGCTTGATCAGAGAATATCTGCATTTTACTGCTTTTGAGAGAAAACTTGCATTTTACTATTATAGCTGCACATCATCGCACTCTACCACCACCTGGTGTTAGTATATCTAAATTGCAAGAGAAGCTTCTTGGGAGGCAAAGAAACAAGTGAGAGCCAAAACTGCAAATGATTGGACTGATGTGACTGTAATAATTTCAAAATAAACATATATTTATAATATATAACATGACTTGTCTGAGGTTTAGCAAATATTTTTAACATTTAGTAGGTGCTGAAGTGCTTTCTGTTTTCCTGGATGTGAAAAAAGGATGAAGGATCAGTTTAATTATATATGCGAAGGAAACAGAATAAATTATGAAAGTTGACACAAATAGAGTGAGAGCAAACGTATTTATATATTTGCATTCCTGCTCCGTCAGCATTTCTTTGCTGTTAGGTGCAAGTTAAACTTGAATTTTAAACAAGGACTTTTCAGCTTCTTAATATCTTGCAATATTTAATATATTGCAAGAAAGTCCATCTTGTGGCCAAGAAGGAAATTTTAGGTTTGTTCTTAAAAATCCAATCCCTTCATTGCACAGAATTCACTGAGACATAAATGTAGAATTGGGTGGGATTTTATCTATTATATCAGGCAGCATTTTAGAATGAAACCATCTACCTCTATATACTGGTATGACTACCACTGTGTATTTTCACTTCTTGGCCTCCCTTTGAAAAAAATAATGGACCATCTGCCCTGGCAAGGTGGTTCAGTTGGTTGTAACATTGTCCCCTACACCAAGAGGTTGCTGATTCGATTCCCCAACAGGGCACATACCTAGCTTGCAGGTTAGATCCCCTTTCTGGGTTGAGGTTTATATATGGGAATCTCTCTCTCTCTCTCTCCCCTTCTCTTCCTCCCTGTTTCCCTCCTTCCCCTCTTCCCTCTATTTCTCCATTCCCCTCTTCTTCCCTCTCTAAAACCAATAAACATATCCTCAGGTAAGGATAAAAGAAAATGGACCATCTGCCACGTATATGTTAATAAAAGTTTTTAAAAAATGCAATTCAAATATTAAAAATTTCTTATTGGTGCTAAATGGTCAATTTTGTAAAATGTTGATATTTTTACATAAAGGTTAGCCCTTCTTATGGTCAAAATACCTTAGGATGATAGTATTGGGAGTACCATTTTAGTAATAAAGATTATAGTGTGGATAAGTTCCCTACAAGGCCCCATGATGGTAATGCCCCTAGATTTTGTCTTTAAAAAAAACTGCTGAGAGGCAATAATTTTTTTTGTATGTGTCCCATTTTCATTAATGCATGGTAATTGATGGAGTTGCAGTGACTTGTAGCAGTAATGAGTTCTAAACATAATAATGCACTCTTTTCTAATAAGTGAGCACTGCTGGGGTTTAAAAGCATACTAAATCAGTTGCTTTAGTATGAATTTATTAGTTTTTTTCAGCATTAGCTTTAATAGTAGTTATTTACATAAGCATACATCCCATTAACCGCCATCAGGGCTGGAAAACATGCTGAACTGTTCATATTTTCATATAATTATTGAACATAATGGTTTCATTTGCATTTCTAAACAGTGATGTTTCTGTCAGCCTTGGAAATAGTGTCTTTACGCAGTCCCTATTTCACATCCACTTATTTGACATCGTTAAATTTTATGCTAATGTGCTTCCCTGGAATATCATCAGTAGGACAGATGCTTGCGCTTTAATATACAAATCAGGGATGCTTTTCCATCCCCCAAATGGCAAAGAAAAATTTTAAAAATCTGCACTTTTAGATATAGAGTCTGTCTCCATATAAATAGGTTTATGAAATAAAATTCTCAGGGTTAAATGTTATAATCTGGTTTTCCCTTCAAAGTACTTCATTATGAATAGCTATCTACCTGACTAGGGTTAGTTTTGTTGTATTGAGTGAGGAGATGAGCTCAGGAAAGATCTGGTTGCTTATGATATTTAGAATTCTGCTTCTGAAATGTTGATCTTGAGATGCAAGTTTTTCAGGGCCTTTGAATACATCAGGCCACAGTGTTAGTTCTAAAAGTATTCTCTGTATTTTTGTTCCTTTCATTTCTTAACCTGGATTGTAATACCTCACTGTAGGAGATGTTATGTTAATGCTCTTGGGCATCTAAGCTCTTGTATACACTTAGAAAATATTCAGTGTAAAAAATGAGTCAGCTGGTGGGGGAGGGGTGTAAAAGAGGGAGGGGTGTAAGCTGGGAGGCCAAGAGCATGTCAGTGAGGTAGCAGAGCTAATATTGAAGGACAGGTTTTAGGGGAAACTGCTTGCCTCTTGGATATTATGTGCACTATCAGCTTTTGTGTCTCTCATGTGTGGATGCTTTTGTGAATGCTATCAATCAGATTGCTGGAAATTTTTAAACAGAACAACATAAAGAATTGTTTTGAGAGTTGATTCCGGTATTTTTGGTGCCCACTACAAAGACACTAGTCCTTCTGGGGCCCCTTCTTTTCCTGTGTTCTGACAGTTCAGGGCAGCACTTTGGACCTGCCAAGCCAGAGCTGAGTCTGCAAAGTTCAAAACACAAGGTTGGCAGCCTGGCAGGATAGGTAAAGAAGCAGCTTAAAGAGGAGTTCCTGCCCCAAAATACTTGCTAAAAATATATGAGAACTGATATAGCATCAAACTGATACAGCATATAAGGATTATTTGGATAGAAATGTTATTTGGTTTATGAGGTCAGGAAGCAACTGAAATTTTTGCAAGGACTTCTATTCGGGGTATTGCCAGGGAAGAAATATAAGGGTTGTAAAGAAACTATGACAGAGTTGGAGTTTCATAGCTATTCATTTTTACCCCGACTTTTTCATGAATTTTCTATGTGATCTCTTGAAATAGTATGAGATTAGGATTTCTGACAGTGGTGGGATCTTCTGAACTATCATACTGAAAACATTGATTGTGTCCTGCTGTCTAGCAAAAACGTAGCCTTCATTGTTGCCTGATAGCCCATCGTATATAAAATTTTTTTTTAATGTTCTGAAAATCTAGCCTCATTTACAAGCAAGGAAATATTTTCAGCTATCTATAAAACTATTTGTGATTACATTCTTCATTGACAACATTTTTTTTTTTGGTGGGGTGCAGTTTGCCACCAAAAAACCCACCATTTATCTTTTTCCTCCCTATACACATTTCTTCCTTTTCTGGAAAGAGGTTTAATGTCGAAATGAAAACCCATCTGCCTATTTAGTTTTAACGTGCCATGACATTTAATCTGACAGCTTGCCCCTGCGTGTCTCTGCTGCTCTAGAACTTGACTACCTTCAAGGCAGCAAAGGCAGTGTGTTTTAAGTGCTAAGTGACTGGTTTCCAAGCCCTGACTTCAGAGGATAAAAGACAGCTGTTGTAGGACAGTTTCCTTGTAGGTTTCTTGTCCATTTAAAAATTCTAGAGAAAGTCGGGTATTATCCATAAGGTGCCAGCCATTGGGAGGATATTACTTGTTTGGACATTACTTGTTTGGTTATACTTATTTTCTCTTTTATGGCTGGGGAAACACAGTGACCACCTCCCTTTTAGAGATGATGCAAGGGCTTTGAAATAAACTTGAAGCATTGTGAGAGCGCCACCTGTTCTGC